GCCCAGAACTTTCTAGAAACTCTGTATTTTCCTCGCCAACCCCCTCCTCCCTGTCATGGGACCGCCCTAGAGGCGCAGATTCCAAGAGCGCTGGCGCTGCGCATCCCAGCCCCGCGGCCTCCGGCTACCCTCCCCTCCCCAGCCCTGCGTCAGCCTCACCTGGACCCTCTCTCTGCCCTCAGCCGCGTGAAAGGCCTGCACTTGAACATGGCTTTCGTTTTAAATCCCGGCACCCTGACCCTTCTCCTGGGACGGCATTTCCCGAGGCTTTTCGGCTACACCCAGAGGGATATAGAGCTGCTATACCCCTTCAAGGAGAAGGTTTTCTACAGCTTGATGAGGGAGAGCGGTTATATGCACATCCAGTGCACCAAACCCGACACCGTGGGTGAGTGCGTGCTCCGGACGCTGCGGCCTTCTCCGCTGGGGCGGGGGCCACACCCCTGCCATTCAGCCAGGCGCCCGGCCAGGGGGCCTCACCCACCCGACAACACTGCTCCGGGATGAAAACCTCCCGGGAGCGCCCCGAACTCTTTCTCACCCAGCACTTCCGGGCAGAGGTCAGTCGATACCTGGCCAGCGCATTCCAGACACCTGCTCGAGCTGATTCAGTGTGCTCCGGGGCCTTGACCCCTGACCCCTGCACCCTGAGCCTAAGTCAAGGAGGGAGCCTGGGGGCCCGGCAGCTCAAGGACTGGAGCGGGTGGAGGGGGTCGATATTCATTTGGAACTCTTCCCCTAATTTGGACTTTTAGGTTTCTTAGTTTTCACAAACCAGAGCATATAAACTAAAAACTCCACCTTTTTTTTTAAGTTTTTTTATTTATTTAAGTAATCTCTATACCCAACATGGGGCTCAAACTCAATGACTCCAAGATCAAGAGTTGCATGCTCTTCGGACTGAGCCAGCCAGGCACCCCAAACCCCACCTTTTTAAAACCAGCATTCATACATATTTCCCATGCGGATCTCCCCAAACACAGAAAGCTAGCTGCCCATGCAGTGGGGGCGGTTTTACCCCTTTTTCTCAGATGAGAGTTCCGAGGCCGAGGGTCAAGTAGATGGGGGTGCCTGAGCACCCCAAGGTCAGGGCAGAGCTGTGCCCCGACACGGGGCCCTGACCGCTCACTGGTCCCAGGCCTGAGTCCCTCCCTCGCTTCTCCCCACCCCAGGCTGCGCTCTGAATGACTCTCCTGTGGGCCTAGCTGCCTATATCCTGGAGAAGTTCTCCACCTGGACCAACCCGGAGTTCCGAGACCTGGAGGACGGAGGCCTGGAGAGGTGAGACCCTACCCTCCAGCCACCAGCCGGCACGTCCCAGCTACTGCTGGCTGCCCCTCAGGCCCTCACCCCGGTGAACCCGGCCCCAGTTCCTCCGGATGAGGAAGCAGAAGCAGAGAGAGGTCTAGCGACTTGCTCCAAGCCCCCCAGTGGAGTGGTCGGGCATAGGACGCAGGGCTCGAGACTGTCTGTGGTCCGTTTGCTCGACAGCACCCTCCCGGGATCAGCGGGCCCTGGGGGCAGTGAGTGCCCCTTTATTGCCAAGAGGCGTGAGCACCCAGGGCCCCCCGCCCGCGCCCCAGCCCACGGGAGCCCGGCATCATCACGGCCTCCTGACCGTGTGCCCTGGGGGAAGCCTGGAGGCAGCTGCAGGGGGACTCCGGGGCCTCTGGCCTGACTCAGGTGCCACCAAGGTCAGCCCTGACCCAGCTTCTCCAGCACCCCTCCCCCTCTTTGTTGCCTTGGGGGCACACAGAGCACCAGACACAGCTCTGCGGTGAGAGGCGAGGTGGGGCTGGCTCCCGCCTCGGCCACGGGCACCGTGTCTAGGTCGTGCCCTTGCCCCAGCGCCTGGAAGGAAGGAGGCTCGACAAACGCACACCAGACGAATGAGCTCTGGAAGATTGTGCGAGTCCAGAGAAAAGAGGATCTGCTCCGTCTACTGGGCAGGGAGGGGAAATGACCGGGAGAATCTATTTGGCCTGGGCCTTGAAGGATGAGTAAGAGTTTGCCGGCGGAAAGGGTAGAAGCAGAGAATTTAGGCAGAGAGAAGAGCAGAAGCGAAGGTGAGAGTGATAGAAATGCGAGGCGCTCTGGGAAAGGCTGACTTTGCCGAGGCTGGGGGCAGGTACGCGGGGGGCTGGACCGGGAGCCCGCGCACAAGCCCTCACCCTGGGATCCGTTCCCCGCCCCACACTGGGCAGGACCCGGGGCGATGGGGCTCCACCAGCAGCCCCTTGGCAAAGGGGTGGCCCTGCTCCTTGCCCACCAATACCTGCAGCCAGACACAGGGCACAGACTGGCTCAGCTCTGTGTTCTAGCAAGATCCCTGCCTGCACTAGGGCGGGGAGGGTCGGTGGGGTCGTTTGCTGGCTATGATCAGAGCCTAGGGGGAGATGGGAGCCCCTGGGCATCTCGCTAAAAGCTGGTTCTGACCATTCACGATTCTGACTGTCCGTTTCTCACTGGACGATTTCCACGGTCCTCCAAAGAGGAACTCAAAGTCGCTTCTTCCCCTGTCCGGCTCCACACCGCCGTTGCTAGACCCCAAGGAACGGTTACTTCTGAACGGGAAGATGCCTTATGAACGTATTCATCATTTTGGAGAAGCCTCTCTCCTTACAAATGCTTCGTGTTTTTGTGTCTAATGTCAGTACCCCACTCCTGCGCCCCTCGCCCCTCGCCTGGGGAGCTGCACTGGTTGGGAGCAGGGCCGGGGTTAGGGCTCAATGTTCCTTAAACTGTGGTGCTGAGGATAAAATGGCCAACTACAACTAGAGGCTGACACACACAAGCAAATTCAGCACATTGGCCTGATGTCTCAACTACACTTATTGGCTGAGAGCTGGGAAGCCAAGTGGGAGCATCGGCAAGTTCCTCAATTCAGGCGCAGTGACATCAGCGGGGCCTGGGGGGGGGCGGGGGGAGGGGGGACAGCCAGGGCTGGGGGGGGGGGGGGGGGGGCAGCAGCAGAGGTAGAAATTTCACCTCCCCCACCAGGCTGCAGGGACGCCCTTCCTTCGTCAAGCAGGAAATAGGGAATGAGGAAGGGAGCCTCTGAGTGTGTGTGCGCCTTTGGATGATGGAAGTGTGCACGTGTGAGCGCCCGTGGGTTTGGATAGACACGTGTGCCCGTGTGAGCATGCGTGTGTGGATGCACTTGCATCTGAGAGTGTGTGTGTCCGCGAGGGGCTCAGCAGAGATGCAGGGGCCACTTCCGGCAGGGACGTGCTGAGTGGGAGGTGCCCGCTTGGTAACCAGACAGAGATCTGGAGCCCGGGGAGGGGTCGGACCAGAGGAAATGACTGTGGTCTGGGGGGAACAAGCAGGCCCAGCAGCAGCCCCAGGAGCAGGGAGGAGAAGTGAGGAGCCCCTACCTGAATGGGGGGCTGGCAAGTGCGGGCTGGCAGTTGCAGTGGGGGGGGGTGCTGAGGCGTTGGGGGGGCAAGAGAGATGGGGCAGAGGGGAGGCGGGAAGGCAGGCCTGGGTGGCATGGACATCAGACTGTGGGCAGGGGAGGGCTGGAGGCTGGAGGGGCGGAAGATGAGCAGGGGGAGGGCATCGGGGCAGAAGTGGTGGGCACCAGCAGCTGGACGGGGGGGGGCCATGGAGGGCTCCAGGGGGCTCTGGACACAGGGTAGCATGAGGGAGTCCAGCAAGAGGTCAGAGCCCGAGGGGCAGGTGGGGCCAGGAGAATGTGGGGTTTCGGGGTCTACAGACCTCGGGCCCCAACAATAAGAACCAGATGGCTCCTTCCTCCCCATGTGTGGAGCCCCACAGCCTGGGTGGGGTCCCATGCCGAGTGGGGAGGTGTCCGCAGGGCCCCAGGCCAAGCCTGGTAGCTGGCGGCCCCGGGCCCAGGCCCGGGCGCCGTGGGGCTAATGCACCAGCCTCAGGCGAGGTCTGAGCAGGGAGCCAGGCGGGCAGGGGTCCCCGGTGCTCGCAGCCTGAGAGCCGCGCCTGGCACTGAGGGGCCTTCCGGGGCTGCTTCCGCAGGAAGTTCTCCCTGGACGACCTGCTGACCAACGTCATGCTCTACTGGACGACGGGCACCATCACCTCCTCCCAGCGCTTCTACAAGGAGAACCTGGGCCAGGGCTTCATGGCCAACAAGCATGACCGGTGAGTCTGGCTGAGCCCGCACAGGGCCGCCTGCCGACGGGCCTCCAGGAGCAGCCGGACCACCTGCCCTTGACCCCCAGGGAGGTCCTTTGATGGCAGGACCGTAGGTGCCCAGGGTGCCTGGGATGAGAGCACAGTGTCACTTCACTCACCGAGGGAACGCCGGGCCGGCCCCATGTGGCATCGGCGGTCCTGGACTTCCGGACCCCCAGGGGGCAGCGGGGGGAAAGGGGAACGCAGCTGGGGGGGCTAGCAGCTGTCCTGTCCGGCTCAGCCCGTGGGGAGCCCGCGGGTTCTCCAGCCCGGCCAGCCCTTCCGGAGAAGGCAGCTGTAGTGGGTTGGACTTGAGGGGTTGGTGAGAACCCTGGTCTGTCCTTCCTTTCTGGCTCCCTGTGGGAGGGTGGTCGGAGCGCCCAGCCCCCCGTCCCGGAGCCCCCTGCTGTGGGGGGACAGGGAACCAGGATGCCACCTCGCCCCTCAGTGTGATCGCTGTCCCTTCCAGGATCAAGGTCCACGTGCCCACAGGCTTTGCTGCCTTCCCTTGTGAGTTGATGCACGTGCCAGAAAAGTGGGTGAAGTTCAAGTACCCGAAACTCCTCTCCTACTCCTACATGGCCCGTGGGGGCCACTTTGCCGCCTTTGAGGAGCCAGAGCTGCTGGCCCAGGACATCGGCAAGTTCGTGGGGCTGCTGGAGCAGGGCTGATGGCCGCGGGGCGGGCTGTCACCCCGCAGCTGCCTCGCCGAAGGCTGCCCCCCACCCGCCGGGCCGCTCCCAAGGAGCAGCGAGCCCCCTCCCCCATCTTCTCCTGGTGACAACGTACACCCCCATGCCCGCCCCCGCCTTGCCAGGCGCCCTGCTCACTGCCTACACGAGAGCAGAGATAATAAACGATTTTATTCCTGAGAGTGGCTGGAACCAGGTGACATGGGGCCCCCCAGTACAGCTGGCCGGTCGGCGGTCTGGGCTGGGGAGGGGACCCTGCTGGCTCCAGGACGTTCCATCCCCTCCCCGTGTCCTGGGACACGGCCCCTGCGGGGTGGGCCCCCACGCACACCGCCCCCGTGCCCCTGGAGGCCGTGGGAGGCTGTCGTCCCCACCCCCGCAGGGAGGAAAAGGAAGGGGCCACCTGCCCTTCCTGCTGCAGTCGCAGCCCACCCAACCCAGACTGGCCCACGGCCTTCCTGCTCCCACAGCGGACTCCTGGGACCGGAGGGGGTTGGGCTGGGTTCGGAGAGGGGAGCCGGCATGAACCGCCATCCTCATCTGGACCCCATCCAGCCTGGATGGCCGCAGGCTCTTTGGTTATGCGCTGGTTGAGTGTGTGCCTCAAGCTGGGGGCTCCGGGGGGCTCCTGCACTCTCCCCTGCCCTGTACCTGACACCATCACCACAGTGAACGGGGCTGTGGGTGCACAACTCCAACACATGATGATACCAACTCCCCGGGACGGCGTCCCAGCTACACAGTTGGACGTTTGTGCAGGAGGGGGACCTGGAAATGCTGGGCCCCCCGCAAGCCAGCAGGAGCACAGAGCTGCTCGGCCAGAAAGGCCAGCGCTTGCCACCCGATGGTCGTCCTGGCCTGCCCTCCTCGGCCAAGGGCAGGCGCACCTTTCCAGTTCCATCTCTTGAGAGCAGCCGTGCTTAAAACAGTTGGGGCCCGAGTCAGTCCGCTTTCCCGCCTGGCTCTCCTCTCCCGGCTCCAGGCCTGGCCCGGCTGCCCTCAGGCCTCCTGGTAGGCAGGGGCTCCACTGTCCCTGGCCCCCGGGTACTGCCCCGGGACAGTCCCGCTGATGCTGTGGATGGTGCCGTAGGTCTGCCGCCGCTGTGGGGACAGGGCAGTTCTCTCCGAGGACAAGCCCTGCAGAATCCGGGGCATGTAGGGCTGCCAGAAAATGGGGGGCCTGAGTGCTTGGAGCAGGAGTGGGGGGCCTGGGCATGAGACTCCAGACTCAGCGCTCCCCCACTCCGCCTCTGCTCTTCCCCAGAGCTGGGCTGAGAAGGGGATTCAGGCCATCCACCTGCCCTGCCTCCTCCCCGGTCTGCAGGGGCAGGTGTCCTGGGGGAATGAGTCTGAGAACCTTCTCTCCGCCGGGGCTGGTCCCGGGACAGACAGACAGCCCTACAGACAGCCTGACCTGGGGGAGGCGGGGCCTGGAGAGAAGGCTGCCCGGCCCTGGCTCTGAGAGGCCCAGCGGCAGGCATTAAACCTGCAGAGAAGGAACCGGGGCGGGAAAAGGAAACCAGGCGGCAGGGCGGCACCTTGGGCAAATGTGGCCTCACCTGCACAGGGATTAGCCATTCCTTCTGGAACGTGGCTTGGCCTGTGCAGGTGAAGCATCCCGCAGGACTAGGGATTCCTTCTGGAACCGTGGCTGCCACATGATCAAGGCACTTCCGACCCGCCGGGAGCCGCTCCGGCTCGGGAAGAAGAAGAGCTTACCGTGAAGGGTGCCGGCCGGGGGGCGTCTGCCTCACTTCCTCTGTCGCTCCCCGAGTCCTCCATCTGCAGGTTAACAGCAGAGACTCGCCATGATCAGCAAAACCGGGCTCCCTGAACTAGTACCCTCCAAACACACAGACTGTTAACAGCCGGGACCCCAGGACCGGCAAGCGCCAAGCTCCCAGCAGCTGAGGACAGTGCGGGGGGGGGGGGGGGGAAGGCCACCGGCATGCGGGGCTGTGACAAGTGGGGCGCGTGCCCACCCCCTGCTCCTCCCATGTCCCCTCACCTTGTAGTTCAGTGGGCTGAGGTGCCTGAAGCATCCAAAGCAGGTGTAGGCCACACAGACCAGGATGGTGAGCAGCACGACCAGGAGGGTGAACAGGGTGAGGGGGGCCTTCAGACCTGGGGACAGAGGGATGCCAGCCATGCTGGGGGGGGGGCGGGGAGAGGGGCCGCAGCTGGTGCGGGAACCGTGTGTGACCTCTCCCGCGGCCGGGAGCACCCAGGGGGGCACCCGCTGAATGGCTGGCATTATCCCTGGTCAGATTTCAGGAACTGGGACCCCAAATCAGTGTTCAGCTGCCCACTTCCTTGCTGGGCCGGCTCCCGGCAGGCTCCACTGCCCTGGCTACATGGGATGGAGGCCCCCCCCCCACCTGACCGGGGCTCGGTCACGGCCCTCCTGCCTTTGCCGTTTGCCAGAGAGTATCCCCCTCTCCTCCTGCGAGCTCCCACCTCCACCCTGTGCTGAGGACCCGGTCCCACCCGCGCCCCAAAGGGCAGCCTGGACCAGCTTCCCCCTTTCCGGTTCAGGCCCTCCACGCAGATAAGGGGACTGCCTTCTCTGTACGGCTTCTCCGCTGCCTTGGGGTCACCAGGGTCCCCCGGGCTCCAGCCAGCTCGGGAGCTGGGCAGTCAATGCTGCCCCCAGCCAGCCCGCCCCCGGGCACCGTGTTCTGATTGGGCACCAAGGTGAGGGACCTGACCGGCTGCTATGAATGGGGACTGGGAGGCCCCGGGCTGCCTCCTGCGTCCACCCCACAGCCCGCCCTGGTCAGAAGGGCCCCTCACCCAGGCGCAGGAAGGAGAAGAAACAGAGCCAGAAGAGGCACAGGATGGGAGCAGCCAAGGCCTGGTTCACAGCCGCCAAGTGGATCCTCTTCTCCAGCTTGGCTGGGAGGTAGGCAAAGTAGAGGTTGTGCCGGTCCACCATGTGCTTGAGCAGGATGTAGATGAGGCCTGCAGAGACGGGCTGTGAGCTGCAGGCCTGGCCGGGCCACGGGGCCCCTCCACCAGCCGCCTCCTGGGGCTGGTGATCTGTCCGACCGCAGGAAGCCCAAGCGGGGCTAGATGCAGAACCTGGATGCTCGCCTCCTCGTTCTTTCTCTCTGCTCCCCACTCCCAGCCTCTCCCTGACACCAAGGAGTAGAGGTGTCTAGCACTATATTGCAGAGAGAAGCTATTTTATACCCAGATGCCTGACCTCAGCTTCGTCCTGGGCCCTCCCCCACGAGCGCTCCCCCCATCCTGCAAGGCTCCCGCGCTCCTTCCCTTCCCCAGCCATGCTGACCCATTGCACCCAGCAGTCGACAGGTGCCCGAGGTCCTGCCCCAGGGGTGGTGCAGAAGGTGGATGCTGCCTCTTTGATCGTATCACGCTTTTTACAAAATTGTTTCGTTTTTGAAGAGTAATGCTATACATTTTTTAAATAGTTCAAGAACATACAGGGAAAACTAAACCTCCTCCTGCCCCAAAACCCCAGCTTGCAAGGCCAACAGTCTCTTGGGTGTTCTGTTTCCTTCCAGAATCTTCCATCTGTCTGTAGTTCTGATTTTTATTTTATTTATTTATATATGTATATTTTTTTGGTGCCAAAATTCAGGAACCTGATGTTTATTTTAGTGGCAAGGCCTTGATCTCTAAAGTCAAACGGTCCCCAGTTCAAATGACGGGTCTACTCCTCACCCCGTCCCACTGGTGCTTCATCTGCAAAACCAGACCTGCCTCGCAGGCATGCACCGCACAGGACACTGAGGACCTGGGGCGCAGGCTAGAGTAAGAGCTGCTGGTCATGGCACAGCCATTCGGACCCCCGACCCCGGGACACTCACCAAAGGGCGCGATGATGGGGCAGGTGATGCTGTAGGCCACAACGACGGTGAAGACACACAGCATCCACGCATACATGGCCCCGAACTCATACTGGAATGCCTGGTTCTGGGCGGGGAGGCGGGGAGGCGGGGAGCTCACTCGGGGCCGCCAGGGGACAGCGCGGAGCATGACTTCGGAAACGGGAGGCGCGCCGCTCCCCCTGCCTCTTGGGGTCCTCTGCCCTCCTCAAGCCCCCAGCCTCGCTGGGCTCCCACCCAGGCCACCAGGATTCGCGGGCCCTTCGTGTCTCCCTCCTTCCAATCCCATCAACCCAGCAGGCCGGGGGCGGGGGGGGGGCAGAGGGCGGGGAGGGTGCTCAGGACAGACGGGAGAGTGACCCCCCCCCCCAGGCTCTGGGGTCAGACCCCCGGGGAGCCGCCCGGCATGGAGGCTGGGGTCCCGGGAGGCAGTCTACACCCCGTCCCCGCCCACCGCGCCCCTGTACCTGCTTGACGTTCCTGCGGTCGGCCGCAGTCTTGGCCATGAACATGCGGAAGGTGTAGAGCACCAGGCCCGGCAGCCGGACCAGCTCCATCCCATTGCCGATGAAGGCCGAGGCGATGACGTAGTTCACAAAGAAGGCGCCCTGGTCGGGCAGGAAGACGCACCTGGGGGGCCGCGGGGGGTGAGCCGAGGCCCGGGAGCCTCTCTGCCACCATGGAAGGCACCTCCATGGGGCTCACTACTCCTCTCCTCCCTGAGTGGCTCCGTTCTCAGGAATAAGTCTCAAAGAATGAACAAGACGGCCACCAACGGAGTTTCGGCCTCAGAGATGAACCACATTTCTGCACACGTGGCGCAAAGTGGGTCAGCTCCCACGGTGCCCACCGAAGGCTCTGCCGGCCTCACCCCGCCAGGCGCCTGGGAGGGGTGCTGGGGTCGCAGGACGAGAGGACTGTCCCGGAGCACAGACTACCCGCCCCCCATGCAGCCCCGGCCAAGCCTGCGACAGACGTGTCCCCGGGACAGCGGCTCCCAAACACAGCGTGGCCAATACTTACTCCAGTCTGATGTAAGCTTCTGAGGAAGTTTTGTCAAAGAGCCACCGGAAGAAAAAATCCAGACTGGGGAACAAAACAAAAAGAATGCCGTGAGCACTTCTGTCCCTTGCTCCCTGTGCTCACTATGCATTTTCACGTTTTTCTGCTCTAAGCATCAGGCAGAACCTCCAGGTCCACGTTTTCCTGTCTAACGTGCCACTTACTCCACTATAACCGGTCAGGGCCGGCTTCCACAGTGACTCCCCCCTTTAAAGTACACAGATTCTCCTTTCCCGAAGGGGACGGTCCATGCTCCGTTTTGTGTTCAAGCTTCATTTAAGGAAGAAAGACCGTATCTCCAGAAGAATCAGTGAGCCAGCCCAAGGACACCCCACGTGGGTGGGCCCGGCGTGGATGTCGTCAGGGATTGGCATGCACCCCCAGACCACTTCCCCTCTCCCAGGGACAGACAGAGCTCTCCAGAGGTGACCAGACGTGAATTCAGGGCAGGAGGTGGTGGTGGGTACCTGGTGAGGCCGAGGGAGGGCAGGATCAGCACCATGAAGATCAAGAATATGTAGATTTTTGACATCATGATCCGGTTTTCTCCCGACCTGCAGGAAGCCAGAGGTGGGTTCTCCCAGTGCCCCAAGTGCTCCTGGCGGCCCCAGGAGGCCCCTGCTGGGTGCCCACTGCCCTGGGGGCAGAGGGCGCACGCCCTGCTCACTCACTTGGTCCAGTGAGACTCCAGCAGCGTGGAGTAGTACACAATGGTAGGCAGCAGGGCCGAGAAGGACCACAGCAGGAGGGTCGGGAAGAACTGGCTGATGACGGGGTCCTGGAAAAAAAGGGCCACGGAGGAGACGGGTAGAGGGGCAGTAGCCTCCTGGTCATGCTGCCCCCGACCCCCACCCCGGAGCCGATGCTGGGCCTGGTATGGGGTAGGTATTCCATCATGCTGGCTGAATGGGCCGTAACCGCCCTGGACTTCAGTATAGCTCTTTGGAGCGAAGAAAGGAACTTCACACACAGCTGATGTCCACCTGTCCGACCAACCAGACCCCTCGCCCCCTGGCTTCCCTCTACACAGCCGACAGAGGCGGCCAAGGGGAGCGGGCATGCCGAAGCGGGGCCTCCCCAGACGACCGCCCACTCAGCTCCCGCCGGCCCAGCTGGGGCCAATCCTGTGTGTGCCCTGTGCTCACGTCTGCCATCACACGAGCTGACCAGCTTACTACTTTCCCTGATAAAATGAGCATAACCATAGAGAGAAAACTTCATGAAAATGAGGTGGCGTACTTCAGAAAGACTCGATAAAGGCCAATTCCTTAAAAAATGCTACAGAATCAGGGGCACCTAATTGGCAAAGGCGTGAATATTTACAGGCTGTAAATGCTCCGACCACACATTAGCTCATGAGGTCACCATCACCACAGCCCCATGAGGACGCTAAGGTAGGTACTTTCACTTCAGCCGTCGGATGAAAATCCACGGCTCAGAATTCATCAGCCAGGGGACGGCAGAGTGAGGACCAGGGCCTCAGAGCCTCCTGCCCTGCGTGCTTTCCCAGCGTGATTAACTGAATGCCAAGCGGAATTGGAAAAAAGAAAAAAGACTCAGGGTGATATTTCAGCAGAGTTAATCATGGGAAACCAATACCTTTTTAAGGCCAACTTAGGGAGTGTTAGCTATTCTCAATTTATCTAAGATTTTATTTTATTTTTTTAAGATTATTTATTTATTCATTTGACACAGAGAGACAGCGAGAGAGGGAACACAAGCAGGGGGAGTGGGAGAGGGAGAAGCAGGCTTCCTGCCGAGCAGGGAGCCCGATGCGGGGCTCGATCCCAGGACCCTGGGATCATGACCTGAGCCGAAGGCAGATGCCCAACGACTGAGCCACCCAGGCGCCCCTCAATTCATCTAAGATTTTAAAAAATCATTTGTTTCTTATCTAGATTCTATGGCTTTGTAACAAGATTATCCGACGCCAGAACGTGAAAAAAATAATTGCATCCTGCTGCCCCAATCTGTGAAGCACTTGTCACTCCTTCCTAGCCGCCCCCCAGCCCCCCTCCCCCCCCAGTCCTCCCCAGGTCCGGTGTCAGCCACCTGTCTGGCCTGGGGGACACGCTGGTGAGCTAAGCTGTGTCCACGGGCCACTAGCGAGTCTTGAGCAGAATGCGGGGGTGAGGGCAGCCCCAGCAGAGGCCGCAGCAGGAGCGTCCCCTGTGCACGCGCACTGCTGGCCGCACCCTGGCTCGGAGACGCTGCTCCTGGCTTAGTGCCCTCCCTTGGCTCCCATTCGCCCACCACGCCTTCTTGCAGGAGGGGCCTTGAAGCATGGTCACTCACGTTCAGCTCATGGATGGGTTTGGTGACATTGAACTTGTCTATGGTGGACAGGATGATGGAGGGCGTGGTCAGGAAAAACAGCCCCACGAAGAGAGTGAAGTTGATGCCCAGCCACTGGAACCACCAGCGGAAGCCCTGGATGGAGAGGTTCTTCCTGCAGAGGGGAGGACACAGGCCCTGGAGGCTTATCTCCCAGGCTCTGGCTGCCCACCACGCCAACAGCGGCTAGAGTAGCTGGGTGAGCAGGTCAAGTTTAGACACGGCAAGGCACCAGACAGAGGGCTCCGGCGGGGGGCTCATTTCGACCTCAGGAGTACAGGCAAGTGCTCTGTACGGAGCTTCAGCTTCAGCCATGTCAAATTTGGGGTCCCTTTGAGCTCAGAGGGAAAACAGGCTATCCACCACGAACATGGTTCCCCGGCAACAACAGCATGGGATCCAGAACCCACCAAAGAGATGCCACGAGCACCCAGGCAGCAAGGCTCCGAACCGGTATGTCTCAGCCATGTTGGCAACCTTGGTGACTAGTGACACATCCTCCCCAGCAGGGCCAGGGGCTGGGTGCACGGAGGGGGAGGCAGGGGACAGAGGGGCTGGGGCCCCACTGCAGCCTGTCCCGGCCTCCCACCCCACCAAGAACAGACAAACCGCCCGAGTTTGGTAAGCCCTGTGACGTGAGAAGCAGAACCGTCGGAGGCCAAGCTAGAACCAGTGGAGAAGAGCCCCCAAAGCTCGCTCTCGGGGTGGGGGACTGAGGCCAACCGTGCTGGGGCCTCTGCTGGGGCTGCCCTCATCCCTGCATCCTGCTCAAGGCTCACTGATGGGCCCGTGGACACAGCGTAGCTCACCAGCGTGTCCCCAGGCCAGACAGGTGGCTTCACGGGGTGGGGGGGTACAAGAGCTGGGCCCGCCGGGAGCCCCTGCCTGGCTGCTGAGCAACCAAGGTAACATATACGCTGCATTTCAAAGATACTAAGTATGAAAAAGAGAAACATCTCAACTAAAAAATAACTGATACCGTGTAGAAATGGTACTATTTTCAGTATTTTGGATTCACATCATGCCCCCCAGCCCTGGCCCAGAGAGAAGCAGGGGCTGCGTGCGGACCTCCCTGACCGCCAGTCCCCGCCCTGGCTTCCAGGTGACGGGGCAGCTCCTGCAGGCCCTGGGGCCTCTGTCCCACCCTGGCCCAGCCGGGCCCGGCCCCGGGGCTCACCAGCAGATGTCCTCGGGGTAAGTGGCAAAGGCCACTGTCCATTTGGAGGTGCGGAGCTCCCTGCTGCAGGAGGACGGCTGGGGCTCACCTTTGCACTGCAGGCTCTGACACTTGCAGGCATTGAAGTCTTTCAGGATGCTGCCGGGAAAAGCAGAAGTGCCCAGGGCCCGGCCGCCCCGGGGCCACGTACAGACATGGGAGACAGGACCCAGCGAGAACGAGGCCCCCGGGGCCGGAGACCTTGGCTTTATTAGTTTATTACAGGTAATGCTTAGAAAAGCCGTGCCTGGCACCCTCCAGGGAGGATTCCGTCAAATCCCCGGAACAACCCGGCAAGCCAGGGAGGACTTCGGCTTTACAGATAGAGAAACTGAGGCCCCCCCACTTAGGTGTGCGTCCCATCTGTCTGACTCTGCCTCCCATGCTGTTGCACAGCCTCAACCCGCCGCTCCTCCCCAGGCCCCCCCTCCGCCCACCCCGCATGCTGGCGCTGTGGGCACATCCTGCAGCCAGGCCAGGGTCTCACCGGTCCTTCCCCAACTCCTTCCCACTCTGACACCCACCCTAGGACAGCCACCTCACCCCTCTCCATCTCCATGCCTGCCCCCCCCACTCCTGCCTCGGAACACCCACTCTCCATGGGCGCCCTCCCGGCTCTCCCCTTGTGGCAGGGTACGTTCCTGGACCTGTGCTGCCGCAGAGAAGGCAGGGGGAGGGGCATCTGTGTGGCCACCTGCTGTCCCCAGTGCTCTCCCAATCCCAGGCATGGGACTGTTCTGGGAGCCAGCGCCCCATACCAGCCTGCACCCTGCAACCCTCCCCAGGCCTCGGCTCTGCAGAAGGGAGTGCCCCGAGTGCCCAGAGGGGTGTGCATTTGTACGAGATGGGAAGCCGGGGCACAGAAGATCTGAGGTCCAGAGTGGACACCTGAAGGAGGGCAAAATGCTGGACAGAGGCAACGGGATTCCTGGGGCAGCTGGTGAGAGCCCAGCAGGAGGGTGAGTCTGCATCAACCCGAGAGGGGTCCGAAGAATCGCCCCCGCCCAGCTGTCACAAGCACGGGCTGGGATGAGAAGGAAAGAGATGGAAATGCCACTGGCAAATCCCAGGATGGATTCCGCGGGACCACCTGCATCTGAGAGGGACAGCAAGCCACCTGGAGGGGGACGGGGAGTTGGCTGGGGAAGGGTCCCACTCACTAGGTGGCCATGGATTTCTCCTGGAAGGTGACGAAGGCCATTCCCAGCGGCCGCTCCTGGACCCGGCACTGCTCCTCGGCGATCCTCTTGGTCAGCCGGTCCTTCAGGCGCGTGTAGTAAGCGATGGCATCCTCCTGCCGGCGCACACACCCCCGTGACCACGCGGCCCTGTGTGGGGGTCGGGGACCCCGCGGCGTGCTCCTGCCGGGGCCGGGCCCTCACCCATTCACACCCCGGCACTTCGCAGAAGCAGAACTGGCCGCAGGGCTTGGGGTTGATGAGGGTCCACTGGCCCGTCTTCGCCCGCAGGTTCGTGTAATAGCTCAGGCTCTTTTCCGCCTTATTCCTGCGGGGGGGGGGGGGCGGGGGGTGTCAGCCTCGCGCTGACCCTGTGGCACACACCCCACCACCACCCTCCAACCACCAGCCACCACCAGACCCAGGAGTTCAGCATCCTGAACAAGAGAGGGCAGAGCCGCCCTCCGGCCTTCCCCAGCGGGGGCTCCGGCCACAGCCAGCGGGAAGGAGGGCGGGGCCTCAGCGGGGTAGGGGCCCGTGCCGCCCCCGTACCTCTCCTTGCACAGGTGTAACAGCCTGGCCACGTTGTAGCACAGCTGGACATCCAACACCTCACACGTGGGATACGCGTCCCTGTGCCCGAAAGATGCCCATTGGAAAAGAAGACCCTCAGGCAGGGAAGACCCCCAAGTCTCCAAGGCTCTTTGTGTGTGCCAACAGAGACCTCTTTTCTCCTTGTCTTTTATCAAAGGGGTAAATTTTGAAATGTAATACAAAGAGGCCTTTTTTAATAGCATGAAAGTCACTGCCTGCAAGTGACAGGTTTATACCCTCGCGGCTTTAAATCAGCAGGTGCTTCTGGCAAAGGCTGAACACCATTGCTGATGTCCTCCACCCACCCAAAGGAAGAGATCTTTCATTGGCTCTAGGTCACGTTGACCTTGGACCATCACCGAAACCCTACCCAGTGTGTGGCCCTTTTGAAGGTCACAGACATTTCAGGTTTAATGAAAGCAAAGGACCCTCAGCCCAGAAAATGTTTGCACACACGTTAACCATCATAGTAAGATCGCATCTACTTGTTCGTGTGCTGTGCATATCCTTGCTATTGACCAGGTACCGTTAGAGGATTAATTGAATCCTCATCAGAACGTGGGAGGTTTCATCCCCATTTTCCAGATGAGGAAAATAAGAGTCGGAGAGGTTACAGGACTTGTGCCCCAGGCCACACAGCTGGTGGCTGTCGGAGCCATGATCTGAATCCAGGCAGCCTGGCACCGCCGTACGACATTCCCTCCCCAGACACACAAAGTCCTCACCCACACATGCCAGGCACCCTCTGGGTCCATCTTTGTGAGAGAGACAAAGCCCACAGGCATGTCAGCCATTGATTTAAACAGCAGGACAAGCCGGGATTCCAGGAAGAGCACCAGGGAAGGGAGCCCCAGCGTGGGCATCCCAGCCACAGGGCAGACGCCCACATCAGTCCCCAGGGATTGCCGGTCCCCAGGGATCGCCACGGCCGCGTGCACCAAAAGGGCCCCCTAAGCTAGGAGATCTCTGATCCAGTGTCTGTATGGTAGGAGGAGGCTTTTCTTTTCTCTTTAAGATTATACATCAAATGAGGGCACCTGGGTGGCTCAGTTGGTTAAGCGACTGCCTTCGGCTCAGGTCATGATCCTGGAGTTCCGGAATCGAGTCCCACATCGGGCTCCCTGCTCGGCGGGGAGTCTGTTTCTCCCTCTGACCCTCCCTCCTCTCATGTGCTCTCTCTCTCTCATTCTCTCTCTCAAATAAATAAATAAAATCTTTAAAAAAAAAGATTATACATCAAACGAAACAATTGTTTTCAGTGTTGCCCAACAGGCCCCTCGGGAGGTGTTTCAAGGAACAAAGAAAAAGCACTGCCAGTATCCGGTGTTTACATAACAGTATTTCTAAAATACTCGGAGTTTCTGAAGAGGTTAGTCAATACATTGTAAACACTCATTTTACAACTCTTTAGCGTTCTTCACAAATGGTGCTGTTATACCATCCTCCACCCCTAGTCCATTCTACAGATTAGTGACTGCTGAGCTGGTGGGGAGTGAAGACGGGTAGAAGCCTGGCTCCCTCGCCTGCAGCCCAGGGGGTCCAGGGGCCTCTGCACCTGCTCTGCCCCCACCCCCCGTCCTGATGCTCCATTCCCAGCCCTGCACATGCTTCCCCCCCCCCCCCCCCCGACCCGCCGCAGGAGCCCTGGGGACAGGTGCTCAGCGGGGACTGCCGGGAAGGAGGTCCTGCCCCGGAGAGCTTGGACTCACTGAATGGTGAGCTCTGTGAGGACAGGGCTCCGGACACAGGTGGCCCCTCCCCAGACGCTCTTGAGGGACGGAGGGACCAGCCACAGGCCCTCCCCTTCGGAGACCAGCTCTGTCTCAGGCGTCAGACTCCGCACAGCTGATGCTGAGAAGCCCATGGCAGATCATCTTCCCTGTGCTCTCAAGGGCCTGGCCTCCTCTCCAGCACCTGCGGTCACCCGGGGCGGCCGTGGTGGCCGGCAGAGGGCAGGCCGTCCCAGCCGGAACACTTCCGTGGCATCAGCAGCCACGTGATGACCGTGTGGCAGGGCCAGACCCTTCTCCAGGTCTCCGGGTGCCCAAGCAGGACACGGAGTGCTCCCCTAAGGCACCTGTCCCGCCTGCAGGGGCTGCAGCCCCACTCACCGGAAGTGGCTCTCCACACTCTCCTTCTTGGTGTCTCTGGGGAGGCCCGTGATGAACAGGGTCCGCCTCACCTGCGGAGAAGCGCACCAGGGAGAGGAGTCGCCAGGCAAGCCCGTCCTCAGGCGGGCCTCACTCTTCCGCCCTGTCCGAGCCTCCCCGACGGAAACAGCGGGAGCTCGGAAGGCTCGGCAGCTCCGAGCCGCCTGGCGGAGCCCTGACGGATGCCGTGCCCCCAGCACCACCTTCCAGGCTGCACACACAATACTTGTCCCAAGCAATTCTGCAAGCCTCCCTTGCATGACGAGAAAGGGAGGAGGAGCCCAGAGAGCGTGAGGGATTCAAATGGGGTTACACAGCAGATGAGAGGACTCAGGCCCAGAACCAACTCACAGAAATTCCTCCTCCCCATCAAGCTGTGGGTTACAAAGAGAGAGGGCTGCTCCCAATCCTAACTTCGAGAAGGTACTTAGGATCAGCAACTATAAGCCTGGACCCCACAAATTTAAGGGCTAGTTGGCAACACAGAGGGGGGAAAAATCCAAGTTCTAAAATAATCTGAATTTTTTTTAAAAAGAGAATGGCATTTTTGAGTGCAGACATGCCAGCCACATTCCACAGAGGCTCTCTGTTGAAGCTCACTGCTCCCGAGTCCCAGGCCCTCCACCTGCCCGCCCGCCCGCCAGCCGGGGCTGCCGCTGGGCCCTGGCCCTCCTGTGCCCCCAGCCACACTCACCAGGCTCTCCTCCTTGCACCGGATGGACTGCATGTGATGCTGCATGAAGCCCACGGTGAGGATGAGGTAGAGGACCCCAAATATGGTATGCAGCCAGAGAAGGTCATTGCTGGGCGGTGGGGGCAAGGGGGGAACACCACCTGCCATCAGGGTTGGGTTCCCAAGCCAGGGTGGGGGTGCAGGGGCTGGGCCCGGGTGCTGAGCTGAGGGCCAACAGCTCCATCCCAGCATATGCCTCCAACAGAGGCCTCGTGGCCAGTGCCCCCCTAGAGTGGGTGCTGTCCTGACAGATGGACCCAGACCCACGGGGCCACGTCCATGCCCACCGCCCAGCCACATAGAGGGGCTGGCCACAGAGGGGCTCTCGCACATCAGCCCACTGGCTGAGGACTCTCTGGCCGAGCCTGGGCTCCGGAATCTGCCCTCCCCTTGGTCCCCGCCCCGTCAGCACGCCCAAAGCTCCCACCCCATACTCACTCCGTCTGCAGGTTTGCTATTGTTGTCCTCCCAAAGCTGTAAGGGTCTTTGTCTGCAGAGAAGCAAGACACGTAGTTCCAGGGTCAGGCTAGGGGAGGGGGAGGGGGCACCGCAGCCTCGATGTGTGGCTCCGGACCCATCAGAGGACCTGACCATCTGTCCGGTATTTTCATAGCTCCACCATCCAAGGCCTCTGCTGTACCCAACAACTTCTTCCCAACCCACCATGTGGCGAAGTCAACTTTGAATTCCTCTTGCTCTGAGATTCTTGTGACATTCCGTGAGAAATCTAAAATCATCCTAAGCTGGGCCCAACACCAAGATAGGAATCACTGGGCATAAGAAGTGGATTTTGGGGATGCCCGGCTGCCTCTGTCGACAGGGCGTGTGACTTTTTTTTTTTTAAGATTTTATTTATTTATTTGACAGAGAGATAGAGAGTACAAGTAGGCAGAGCTGCAGGCAGAGAGAGAAGGAGAGGCAAGCTCCCCGATGAGCAGGGAGCCCGATGTAGGGCTCAATCCCAGGACCCGGGGATCATGACCTGAGCCGAAGGCAGACACTTAACTGATTGAGCCACCCAGGCGCCCCAGGGCGTGTGACTCTTGATCTTGGGGTCGTGAGTTTGAGCCCCACGGTGGGTGGAGAGACTACTTTAAAAAAATTTTTTTTTAAAGAAAAAAGCAGATTCGTGATGGCATTTTGGAAGCTGGCTTCCTACAGTTGCTTGGAAACATTGTTCCACACTCCGATTTTGACTTTGAGCATCACGAACATCTTCCAGATCCACTAATTATGTCCTCCTGATCGGGTGGGGGCAGGAAAGTGGAAAGCACTCTCCAAAAGCCCGATTTGACAAATCTTGGGGTTTTATTCCTCGTACTCGGACAGAATCAGAAATTGATGGAGGGGGCAGCTCTTGGCTGGAGACGGGGGTCTTCTCCGGACCTTTGGGCAGAAGGGAAAGTTCCGAGAGTCACCTCGAGGACTCCTCACGTCTGAATCCGAGCATGAGTCCTGGGGTTCTGTCCTATCACAAGGAGCCCCGCGGCTCTACCCAGGCCCGAGTCACACAGGACGAGGGGTCATTACCCAGCAAGTCACCCGAGAGGTTGACAGGCAGGATGACACACAGGGACAAGCAGCTGACCACCACCAGCAGGAAGATGATGTGTCTCTGGAAGGACAGGTAGTGGATGGCGTCCTCCCCACACCACTCCAGGATCTGTTCATCGCTGGCCAAGACACGCACATGGAATCTCAGTGAGTGGCAGGGGCCTCACTCAGTCCTCAGGACCATCCAGGAGGCGGGTTCCCGTCCCAACCCCACCGCTCTACATACGAGGACGCGGCCCGCGGCCCCGGTCACACAGCTTGTGCGGGAACAGCGAGGTCGGGGCCTCCCGAGCCCGCCCCGTTAGCCCGCCACACCGCACCCCCGGGGAGCTGCCGGCTCGGCAGCCATCTGTGCAGGGGCGAGGCGTGGAAGCTCAGACACCCCGCAGCCCTCCCCGCCGCCGTGAATAAGCTAAGTCACTGATGGCAGGGCGGCTGCCAGGCTCGCAGCCCCCGCTCTTTCCTGGGCCCCCCTCGGACAGGATTGCAAGGCAGGGGGAGCCGGTCCCCGAAGCAGGGAACATTCGGCACTCGGACCCTCTGCTGCCCTGCCTCCTCCCTGCGTCCTGCTGGGGGGGCCCCACAGGCACTCCACCCTTTCCTGGATGCCATATTTGGAAGCTCCAGCTGGCTTGGGGACCTGGAAAATTCCAGAGGCCGACAACCAGACCTCCACGCCACGGACACAGGATGGGGTCCCCCTCTGTCCCAGTCGCCTGACAGGGAGCTGCCCCAGGGTCCAGCTTCCGGAAGGAGTACTGATGAAGACTCAAACCCATGAATGAGCAATTCTCATCCACGGTGTTTCTGGGGACACACCTCTGCCTTCCGATCTGCCCGGGGAAAGGCAATTCTAAGGACCCTGCAGGGCCTCTCTGAATGTCGGTGGGAATGCTGGCTGTCAGCAGCTGCTAGATTTAACTATAGCCTCGGGAACATCAAGGTGCTGTCTCTTCTGTGACAGGGACAGACAGGGAGAAAACCCGCGGAGCGGAGATGCGCCAGCATCACGGTGACAGAGCAGGTACATGGCAGCACCGCAACAGCCCCTCCATGAGAAGTGCGTGTCCATGTGGGGGGTGTGAGGGGGGCTGGAGGGGACACGGAACCATGAAAACAGGGCCAAGGGAGAGGAGCCCGCTGCAGAGCAGATCTGCCCACCGCCTTTGAGGGTTACCATGGAAATGATAAGTCAGTGTCCCCCCGCTGCCCTGCCCGGCCCAGGGGGGTGAGGTCCCCAGCCCAGGGGCAGGGGCGTGGCCTGAGCCCCACCCAGCCACGCCCCCCCAGTAGCCAACCGAAGAACATGCCCTGGGCATCCCTCAGGGGGAGGGTTCTAGGTGTCCTCAAATTTGTTCTCACTGATTCTTTTCCTTCTGTGATGGACTTATTACACGGAGTACGCTATGACCTCCAGCGTCAGGAGAAATGCCTCCTGGGGACACGATTTTGCAGTGGTGGAGAAGGGTGGGGTTGGCAAATGCACCTCTCCCCCTTATACAGTTGGGGAACCTGAGGCCCAGAGAGAGGGACGTCCCCAGCGTCCTGTAACCGCCGTTACGGGGTATCATCAATTCTGAGAGGTCCTTCTCATATCTCGGCACCGTGAAAGGGAGCTGCCTACAACCGCAGCGGATCCTGGCTTGATAGGGTTTCTCTCCGCAGGCCCCACATCTTAAAAACAAGGCCACTTTTAACACAATGAGGTGAATGTACTAAAGCATCATTCTTTCTCCTCTCTGCACTAAATCAGACACGGAAGCCTGCCGGGAAGAGCCTCCTTCAGGCGTGCTGGTGTTAAATACCAAGGAGCCATCATCCCTGCCCAGAGCACAAAAACTCAGTTTCGTGGGCTTGTGCAGGAGCTTCTGGGCCCCCTGTTCTCAGCCCCCACATTCTGCTCTGGACCTGAGCTGAGAAGCAGCTAAGAGACCCCCATCTCGGAGTCGGGCATTTTGACCTTTCCTCCTCACAGGTCAAACACGCAAAACCCCCCCAGACAAAGACCGACAGCCAGACACCCCCCCGCTCCTGCTCCGACCCACACGCAGACACAGCTGTGCGCGCACGCCAGCCTCCCGGACTGTACTCACTGTAGGCGGAAGATGGCGGTCAGCCAGGGGCAGCATCCCTGGAAATGCAGAGAGCAGGGGTCAGCCGTGGACGTGTGTGTCTTTGGGAGGCAGATGTGATCACTGTCCGTGCCCTAAATAACCATCTAGCCTCCCATGATGCAAAAGCAATGCTTTTGTCCCAAACTCAGCAAGCTACTGCGTGTCCCCAAAGTGACAGGGTCTCCACGCTCCCAGTCCTTTGTGACAGGCACCCCATGCCTGGAACTCTTGTAAAAACCTCTCAAGCTTTGACAATTTGCGGAATCATATGGGCTCCAGGGGCAAATGCTGAACTTGAAGAGACAGTGAGAAGGTGCTCAGGAGAGCCTCAGAGAAGCTTCCGCGGCCTTCCGTTAGGTTGCCCGAACAACGGGCTGAGACGTGGGACGGACGCAGGGAGACAAGCCTCGTGGAAGGGACAGTCCCCCCGCCGGAGTGGGGTTACACAGGGAAGAGGGGGTCTGTAGGTTTTACCGTCCATCGCATCTCTTACGCACAATCCCCCCAGAGCTGGGCTGCCCCCCGGCTGGGAGACGCACACATCTAGTCGTCATCCGTTCAGGGTGACAGGACTGGATAAGGCATGGTTCCTGCCCACAGGTGGCTCAAGCCAGCAGCAAGTCAACAATGAGCTGTCACACTTGTCCCTGAGTGTGATCACAGAGACGAGCACCGGAACGGCAGGGGAATTCGGGGAGCCCTCTGCCTGAGAGGTGACCCCGTCCTGGGCCCCCCAAGTCGGGTGGCTTGGTCGGTGCCAAGAAGAGCTGTCGCCAGCACTGGCCACTCAGGACGCAGGGTCCCGAGTCAGCCGCTGAACAGGTGCGCGGCGGCCCGCCCCCGCCCCCACCACGGCCACAGCCGCACTGCTCCCTTTGGTACCAACCAGCTCGCTTTCAAAATCTTGTTGCCCGAAAGAGGAAGATGACGACAATCTCTGGAATCTGGACTCACTAGAAACACAAAAGGGAAGAATGACAGAAAAGTCTACACCCGACGTCCCGGACCAAAGCTACAAGCCTGCCTCAAGGTCTGGCGCAAGATGTAACTCGGCCCGCGAAATGTGCAGATGCCCACACCTGGGCGTGTGAGACGTGAAACTCTGCCTCACAGGGGGTGAGTGACAAGGGCTCGGGCATCAACACCGCCCCTGCGCCCCGCGCCCTGGGGCCTCAGCGCCGCAATGCCAACAGGTCCACCTAATGGGACTTTAGAGCGTCGACGTGTGTGATCTGCTTCCCAGTGTGTTAAATAAAACTTGGAACAAATGCTGTATTTTGTCCAATCTACAGCACTACCACTTGTAAGGGACGTAACTATTTTATGGCTCTGCTTTCGCAAATGCCAGCACCAAGGCCGCCAGGGAAAGAAGGTGCTCGAACATGCCGCGCCCCTGCCGCACAGACTGTGTTTCAACACGGGCCTGCTGAGCAAGAGCAGCGGGGGGTTGCCTGAGGAGGCCCTGGGGTGGGGGGCGGCCGGGGCACACGCGCATTTCCCCTGCGGCTTCCTATTCTGCACCTGATGCAAGATCCTGGCGTGTGGCAACAGCTGGGGCTGGAGATGCCAGCGCGTAGGCCTAGACTCCGACCCCCCTCTTCAGGTGTCATGAGCCGTCAGAGCCTGGCGGGGGGTGGTCTGGCCAAGGGGGGCCCTGCTCCGCCAGACTCCCCGACACTGGCTGAGCGAGGGCCACCGACCCCGAGCGAGGACAGGGGCAGCTCCCCTCACCCGCCTTGCCTGGCCCCCAGCCCCAATCTAGCTCATTGCCAAGAAGAGACACTTGAAGACGTTCAAGGTGAGAAAGCCATCGGCATCCTTCTCAGCTGCTGATGAAAGCCCTACGTGTGCAAGCAGCTAGACTTCCTCCACGGCCTGAAGCCAACGGCACTTCTGGCACCAGCCCAGCAACAGACACGATCTCGTGTCAGCGTCTCGTGTGGGCCGCCCGCCCGTCCCGGCGACACCCACGCACACACACTCAAGGTGACATGTCCTCGTTACCTGTCTACTTCTGACACCAGGGCAATGCGGCCATAATCCCAGAATCTCCTTCTTATGATGGAAAACACCAAAATTAAACACTAAAAGGAAAAAAGAAACCAAATCAGGTGACCTCTAACGAGCGCGGGACAGCTGTCCTAGAGGCAAAGCCCGCCGGCCTAAGCTCAGCGGGACTGGGACGGCCCAGAGAGGGTGCTGAGCTGCCCAAGGCCACACAGCTCCTGGTTGGTCGCAGGCTCTGCCCACCCCGTTCGCCAGCGCCCGTCTCTGGTGCCAGAGGCACCACGGCCGTCCCCCCCGTGCCCCCTCATCCGGCGCATCGGCCCAGTTCTCCGCTCCCCTTCCCCAGCCCCGACAGGCCTTCCGCTGCTCCTGAGCAGGGAGACAAGCTCTGGGCCCACAGCTGCCCTGGGGACCAGCCTCCCTCTTCACTTCACACAGACATGCAGGTCTAATTACAAGGAGGCAGAGCTGCCCCAGGCTGAGCACAGCGGTGACACCTCTGCCTGGTCTGGTGTCTGGTTCTCCTGGAGGGGCCGTGCCCACTGAGGACCTGGTGCTCCACTAGCCGGGGCCTCGGCTCATCTCCCTAGCCCCCTTTAGCTCTAAAATCTGTACACTCTAGCTCTCTCCTCCCTCCCCACACCTCCGCCCTGGCCGGTCCTCAGACCCGCTGGGCCTCTCCCTCGACAGGCTCCCTCCTTCAAGATTCAGGGAGGCAGAGGGAGGGGGCCATTTTCCTTGAGCACAACCCTGCCGGCCCCAGTCAGGAGCTGAGCTTTTAAGTGTGGGTTTTGTCCCCCCTGAAGGGAATCCAGAAGGCCAGAACCCCAGAGGGGCCGTGCTCTTGCTCTCGAGGGATTATCTCAAGGCGGGTGGGGAAGCTGCTGATACATCTCCAGAGGCAGGTGAGTCCTGTCGTAGGGTAAACTTGAAGCCTGCTGGGCAGGTGCCTGCCCCCCTGCCCCTGCCCTGCTTTGCTGCGGTGTGGACCTTTCCCACGCGCTCACGTTTTCCAGGCCCCTCTGGCCCCCAGGGGCACCCCGAATGTCCCATGATAAAAATCCACCACAGCCAGCAACCCTCTTCCCAGCCGGGCCCCCCTCAGCGGCGTCCACCTCCGTCTCCAGACGTCTCTCCTTGGCCCACCGCCCCACCCCCGTCCCACCCCATTTACTCCGATGGGCTCTGTCACACGTTGGGAGAAGGCATCAGGAGGCACCGGCCGGCCCACAGGCAGGCAAAGGAAGGTGCGCCTGACCCCAGTACCTGCCATCTGGCCAAAGCGGGGTCGGCACAGGGGAGAAAAATGGTGCACTTCAGGCTGGGGGTTGTTTGGGGAGCAGGAGGTCTACACTAACGAGAGGCCACTGTGTGGGCCGGCTCTGAGGAAGGGGGCCCCTTCCAAGATCTGTCCTTTTCTCCACGGCTGATCCCCTAAGAGGCCCGGGACCCCGTGGGGACAGGAGGTGACGTTTCTAGGCCGGGAAGTGCAGCCATTCTAATTGGAACCCACACCTTCCATTCACAGCTCTCGTCCCTGCGGACAGCCCCCCCCCCC